TGAACGTAAAGAATATTTTCATAGTAAATAACTTCTGAGCACAAGGCGTCATGCTTTGAAATCTTGTTTGTAGCAGATGATCCCCGTAATTTGATGCAAAATCCGCTTAAACCTCCTTATAACACATGTATTTAATGCATCTATGAAAATGAAATAAAAATTCTGTCAAATTATACCGTAAGTGAAGAAACTTTCCCATTTCTGAATGTAACCCCTCACACTGGGAGGTAGTTCTGAATCCAACAATTTTTTTTCCGTGTATATGAGCTATAGCCCGTATATTTATCTCCGCATACAGTTCAATAACCCACTTATTGTCATGCAACCCAAATGTGTCAATCATGTCAGCTTACTTGCATCGAAATTCACCCAGGTCATAGTCACCCAACATGCATTTCCTAATTTGACAAACAAATTCAGGAACTCCAATATTAGACGTTGCATTGCAAATTAGATGTCAATCACACAACCTATGATAAGCATTCAAAAACACCCTTTTTATAGCTTTCTTCATTGCAAAATTACCACCAGTAATGACAAATATAGACGACTTACCTGATATTGCTTCCAAAATTTGTTTAAGAACCCACACATATGTTTCTTCTTTTTCATTTGCAACAATAACATTGTCAGATATAATATTATGATTATGACTATTAACTCCAAAAAACAGCACTAAGGCCCCATATGTTGCATCAAATGCCAACACATCACCAAAAACTTTGAAATCCATTTGCTTATACCATTGCACCAAAAAAGGTGTTCAAGCCTACCTTATCCATTAACAGTGTGGCGATAAAACATCATCGGGTCATCTGATGCCAACCCATGAAGATAGTGTACAATATTTTTACCATCACATGATTGCAAAAGGCGTTGCTTTCCTATATATATATATATATATATATATATATATATATATATATATATATATATATATATATATATATATATATATATATATATATATATATATATTCTTCCTATGAAACCCTATCTTTTCATACCCTCCTGATTGGTTCGCAAAAGAACCATAAAATTGAGACGACCTTATACCAACCTTCAACATATCGTTCATCTGCATTATATTCGACTCTTTCATTTTTCAACGTGAAGCAAGTTTTACATGGCATTCTTCATCTAAAAGCTCATGGTTGTGATGATCGTTAAAAACTGTTATCCACCAACATTTGAGAACATATCTATATGCACTCGAAATTTTACTTCACATTCAGACCGAGTCTCAAATTTACGCTCATGCTTACGATTTTCTATTGTTAAACCTCCGTCCTCACTAAACCCCTATTTGTGACAAACAAACATTCATTGTAATATCCCCCTTTCTTGTTTCAAAGGATCTTGCTCTTGCAAATTATAAACTCGTTCATTTTAGCACACTGGTTGTAGAAAGCATAAGCCATGTCCAGGCTTGAAAATTGAAATTTCTTTGTCTTATGTGGACTTAATCTTTTCAGATTCATGTTAAGAACATCTTCCATACTATCAATATTTATAATCTTTTCAATAGATTCTCCATCTTCATCACTAATGTCATCAACAAGAACGATCTCATTTGCTGCTTTATCAACTACTCCAGTTGAAAAGTCTTCTAGTCTCTATCACAATAAATAACATAATTTCAACGTAAGTTCCAAAATACACTAATATTAGTGTTCTGGACTGGGACTGCGCTCAAGGCAAGGCCCAATCCACTTCTTCTAGGTCGAAGGCCCAATACAGCGGCCCACACAATTATGACCGTTGGAGGACTCTTCCCAACACGTACATGAACTGAGTCCTTCCCAAGCGTACCTGTCGGGGACCCCCTCTCAACGTGCCCGACGGGAGTATCACGTCAATGTGCCCGACGAGAACAATGTCTCCTCATAGGATTCATTGTCAACGCCACTCTGAATGTCACGAAGTCCTCTTGTTCTACCGCTTCTTCCAAGTATTTCGGGACAAGTCACCTAGGAAAGAGACCACATGCTGCTCTCTACTACACACGTAGATCATGACAGTCTCTATTATGGGTCTGCTCAGTCGGTCCAGCTTGGGGACCTTAGTCCAGCGCTGAAGGATATAAATATCCTCTTTCACTAGAGGGTCAGGTACATCATTCTTCACACTTTTCATTACTTGCATTCAACTCTAAACTTTACTTTAGCATCAGAGTGTCTTGCAGGTACTCCTCACTTCACTTTCAACCGTTACTCAGTCCAAATTTATGTGCTATCGACGATCCGTTCTGATCTAATACAATGAACTAATATTTAACAAATATCTCATGCTACCTCCATTAACACATTATTCGTCTACGCATACCATCTTTCACTATTGGACTAAAGACAAAACCCAAATAACAAATTTGCAAATTGACAAGTATAACAAGCTGGAAAGGAAAATGCTGTCATATTTATGCACAGAAGTAATAATTTAATAGACTAAGACAAAACTCAAATGACAAATTTGCAAACGGACAAGTATAACAAGCTGGAAAGGAAAATGGTGTCATATTTATGCATAGAAGTAATAATTTAATATATTAATGAGTGTTACTCAGAATATTCAACATATACTGTCTATGAAAGTAAACCAAAAAATACTTCTATTTCAATCATTCCACTAACAACATATGCATATTTAAAAAAAGAAAAAACAACAAATAACGTAAGAAAACATCATAAACATATATGAAACGTGTTATAGACTAGCACCAAAATTGTTCATAACAAGTTTATTCAACAAAACCAGCAAAATGTTCACACCATGTTTCAAAAGAAGAATTTTATTCAAAAAGTAATATCGTGCTAGTACTCCATTCACATTTCAAACTACAAGGTAGAAATTGACGGAAAAACTGTAGAAAGATAACATCAAAATCATGTTCTAAACTGTGTGAATTGGTTGAAAAAAAAAGACAACTTGTAACGAGGTAAATAAGATTGATGAAAAAATGGAAAAAAAGAAAAGGTTTATGTGATGAAGGGAGAGAACATGAAAAAGTGAAAGAGGAATACTCTCTCCGTCCCAAAATAATTTATATTTAATAAAAAAAATTATCTTAAAATATTTATCACTTTAAATTATCAATGCAATTTTATATTTAATCTTCCAATTGTATCATCTAATAAATACTCATAATTTCTTATTTTCTCACTTAACATTAATGCTAATTTGAATACACCAATAATTAATAAGGATAATTTGGTAAAATCATTATTCTTTCCATTTCATTTATTACTGTTTCTTAATCTGTGTGAAATGATCAATTGTGACAAATAATATAGGACGAAGAAAGTAATATAATTGATTTGGAATAAAATTCTTACGAAAAGTAAGAAAACCCGAAAGATAATTTGAAAATTACATCGAGCATAACTTATGTTGTTAGATCGATACTTTCGTAGTGATTGTGCAATATTCCTCTTTCCTCTAGCTTCTCTATTACTACCACTCATTTGTCTTCTGCTTTCCTCTCTATTCTTCCTATCTTTATCTCTTAATTGTCTGTCTTCCCGATAAAACCTTGATACATTTGCTCATACTTTGTATGTGCTAAACTGTACATTCTTTAACCTTTCTACTAAGCTCCTTTCATCTGTCACCCTTGCGAACCTTACAAAACCAAAATATTTTCCTTCCTTGTTTTTCTTTCTAGGTATGAATATGTCCACCAGTTCTCGTAAATGGAGTTTGGTGTCAGTGGATATGGCAACAGAGAAGAAGATGAGACTTGATTACGCAAGATGTCTAGTAAAAACAACCTCAATGGTATCTTTAGACAAGGTTGTCCAGGTCATGGTAAATGTGCATGTTTACAGTATCAAATTGGAAGAGGAAGCATTTAGTTGTCCGATAGAAATCCAAAGAGTGAATCAACTGTATAATTAGATGTCAGAAGATGAAGATGTTGAGTCAGAGATGGAAAACGATCCATTATCCATGAGAGAGCTGGAGGAGGAGGAAGAGGAGGATGAAGCTGGAGTGGAATCGCTGGAGAATAATTATGACACAGTCATGAACGTTAATGAGTCGAATATGGAAGAGGGTGATTTGCACGTTCCTAACTTTTTGAGCGATGAGCAAAACATGGCTCAAGGTGGACGACGTATACCAAATAATGAAGTGGGACCAAATCAAGACATTGATGAAAGGCAAAGTTTCGAAACATAGTCTTTTATTAGGCTGGATAATAGGTTTCATAACATTGGACCTCAACTGAAATTGTTGGACCAAATGGAATTGGTCAATAATTAGTGGTTTTTCCACCTTTATTTACAGTTGATTTTAGTTATAGTTTCTTTATTTTGTCAAGTGTTTTATTTCATTCTTCTATGTTTTATGCGTTGGTTGTGTATTTTGTTGTTTTCAGGCTCAGAGGAATGAAACCAGGAAATTCAAGGCGAAAAAGTGCCAAAATTCAGAGTTTCGGAGAAAGTAAAAAATCCACCTACAGGAGGCCTGACACGGCCACCCGTGTTGCCCAACACGGGCTGTGTCAGGATGTGCGAGTGAAGAAAGAGAGAAGTCAGGGGTACAACACGGGCTGTGTTGTAACCCCTGGGAGTTGAAGTTGATACTTAAAAATCCAGAAGGCCAACACGGGCAACCGTGTTGCCAACACGGGCCGTGTTGGCCTGTGGCACTGATTTCTGAATATTTCTCTATTTTTCTCATTTGTTAAGTTATGGGGGCGTTTTGGATACTTCCAACCGACTTAAATGAGTTTTTGCGATTTAGAGGATTCCCACGAGAAATTGAAGGACTTTTTGACTGGAGAAGTTTAGAAACAATAAAGATTGATGTTTTCAAGAGATTTGGAGACAGAGATTCCTTCATGAGCAATAACAATTGAAGATCGAAGAATCCTCACTTTTTATAATGTCTAATTTCACTTTTTAATATTATGAGAGGCTAAACCCCCATTACTAAGAGGTGTCTATGATTCACAAATGTATTGATTTTGAATTCTTAAGAGAAGGGAGAAAGAAGTATTAATGTTTAAAGCAGATTTCGAAAAGGCGTATGATTCGGTGGATTGGAAGTTTCTAGATGTTACAATTGAAAGAATTGGGTTCGATGTAAAATTGCGAGGCTGGATATCTGAATGCTTACGGTGAGCTTCAATATCAATATTGGTAAATATGAGTCCTACAAAAGAATTTCAGATGAAAAGAGGCTTGAGGCAATGGGATCATATATCTCCCTTCCTCTTTGTGTTGGTAGCAGAAGGTCTTAATGTGATGATGGTTAAAAGCATACAGATGAATCTTTTTGATGAGTATGAGGTTGGCAAAGAAGGGGTGAAGGTGTCACCTATTCAATATGTCGACAACACTATAATAGTGTGAAAAAAGAGTTGGAAGAACATTTCAGGATTAAAGTAAATTTCCATAAGAGCTCACGGATCAGAGTTAATATTAATAGTTTGTGGTTGGAAGAGGCAACTGAGGTTCTAAACTGCAGGGTCAGAACAACCTCCTTTAAGAATCTAGGGTTGCCGGTAGGAGGTAATCATAGGAGAGTGGGTTTGTGGAAGGTAGTGGTTCATACGGTGAGGCGTAGGCTGACTTCGTGGAACAATAGTTATCTTTCTATCGGTAGGCGCATCATTCTCTTGAAATCGGTCTTGTGTGCAATTCCCGTCTATTTCTTTTCCTTCTTTAAGGCACTGGCAGGTATCATTTATCAAATTGAATATCTTTTAAAAATTTTCTTTGGGGTGGGGGAGTGGAAAGGAGGAAAGTGAATTGGGTTAAGTCGGCTATTAAGAAAGTGGAGATGAAATGGTTAAACGAAAAGGGTTCGCTGTGGGTCAGAATTTTGGAGGCTAAGTATGGGGGTTGTGGTCAAGAAGCGGGCATGGTAGAAAGATTTAAGTCGTTATGGTGGAGAGATATCCAAGCTGTTGATAATGGGGAGGGAGGTTTCAAAGGACAATGGTTTAAGGAAAATATTGTTAGAGAAATTGGAGATGGAGTTCAAACGAGATTTTGGGGCGATCCTTGGGTCAAAGGGAGAAGTATGAAGAAAGTATATCCGGGGCTGTATAGGCTAGCGATAAACAAAGAAGTTTCTGTTAAGGATTCGTTTAGAAGGGAGAGAGAGGAGCTGGCGTGGATAGATAGATGAGAGTCTAATTTAAATGAGGACAACATAAGGTTAAAGGAGGAAATTGTAGGCAAGATTCAAGGTTTAAGTTTGAACGAAAATGTGGTTGATCGGTGGACATGGGCTAAAAATGAGTATACTGTGAAGGAAGCTCATGCAGAAATTATGGAAGGGTCTCTAGTGCAGAATAATGAAGATCAGGGTCTGGCGGCTGTGTGGAGCAAAATTGTACCATTGAAAGTGTCGGTGTTAGTCTGGAGGGTGTGACAAAACAAGATCCCGATGAGAGACAATTTAATCAAGAGAGGTATTGTGGCTGAAGCCCAGGGGGTATGTCCATTTGGGTGGGGAAAAGAGGAAAGTGTGGCACATGTTTTCTTTGAGTGCCCAATAACAACATCATCGTAGAGTGATATTTCGAGATGGCTGAAAGTTCTCGTTATTTGGTATGCATGTCCGTGGACTATCTGGAGAAGCGGAACAACATAGTACTCAGAAATAATGATAGGCGGGGAGAAGCTTTCATCCACGATATTCAGCTGACATCCTGGTGGTGGCTTAGGTCTAAGGTGAAAGGGTTCCAATTTTCCCTCTATCAGTGGATATTTAACCCAAAAGCATGCTTGGGCTGGGTTGATGGATAAACTGGTTGTGATGGAGTTTGTGGAAGATTCGGAAATCATAAAAGTGTCTCTGTAGTAGTTCGAACGGGAGCTGTCTTCTTCGCTGGCTGCATTCAAACAGGCTTGTTTAGGAGTAGAGTTTGATCTCGCAGAGGTATGCAGAAAGGGCTGAGATTGTTGTTCTGAGTTTTAATTTTTATATATAACAGGTGGTTTGTGTCTTTTGTCTTGAATAGGTGGCTTGTGTCTTTTGTCATGAATAGGTGTGTGTCTTTTGTCTTTGAATATTAAGGTTGGTGCTAGTGGAAGTGGAATTAGAATATTGTTGTATCGTGTTTATTTCTGGAGTAGTGTTATTTGGCTAACATTGACAATTCTGGTGTAATATTTTAAAGGGGTTGTGGAAATTGTACTGATTGGCATTACCTGTGCCTTTGTTTGAATGTGATTTTGGCATTTCAAAAAAAAAAATTGAAAAATACAATTACATGTAAATGATTTCATGTGTTCTCACTTTTTATTTCATTAAATCCAAACCATTTTTTTAATCTATTATATATATATATATATATATATATATATATATATATATATATATATATATATATATATATATATATATATATATATATATATATATATATATATATATATATATATATATATATATATATATATATATATATATATATATAATTAAAGAGATTTTACTATAAAAATAAAAGTTTAATGTTTATCATTTATCTTTTTAAAAATATTATGTTAGTCTTTTTAGTTTAATTACCAATCAACTTTTGAAATTTTTTATCATTAATTAAATGAAAAAAATTAACATGATATATTTTGAAGAATTAAAAAATCAAAATGAACTTTAAAATTAAATACGCGACAAAAAAAAATGAAGCGTCATTCAAATCCTCCTATTCTTTCAATTTTTTCTTTTTTATCTATAAAACTTTCTCTCCTCGCCCTCTTGGCTCATTATAGTTTGTTTCTGCAAAACTTTCTTCCAACAAACGATAAAATAACAAGTTTAATATTAAGCAAATGTATACGCAAATGTATACACTAAAGATACACATGTACAAGTTTAACATTAAGCAAATCTATACACTAAAGATACACATATACAAGTTTAACATTAAGCAAATCTATACACAAGATAACACATGTTCTAATATTTGTTAAATTGTAATCTAGTGTGTCGAAACTATTAGTCGAAAAGATTTGATTTGTTTTAGATTTAAATAGATTTGATTTAAGTCTAAAATAAATTAGATTTAATTTAATAACAAAAAGATATTTTGGGCTTTGAGTTTAGGGTGTAAACTCAGTTATAAATAGAGGGAGTAACCCCTATTTTTGTAAGCAAGTCAAGCAAGTTGTATTCACAGAATTTGCAGTTGCAAGTGAATAACAAAGTTTTCACAGTTTGTGAACAGAGAGAAATTATGCAGAAATTATTTGTCTTGTCTTCTTTTCTTTGTTTGTCTCATAACTAAATTGTCATTGTGGTAGAAATTCATCATAGACTTTGGTGGATTTCCAACATCTGGTATCAAGAGCTTTTGTTTCGATTCAAGGAAAGTATCAATCAAGAACAATTGAAGAATTCACGATGACAAGTTATAGGAATGCAAACTATCCAGCAACACTGCCAATTCTGAAAGTTGACCACTATGAGAATTGGTGCAAACAGATGAAAGTCTTATTCAGGTGTCAAGGTCTTTGGGACCTTGTAAAAGATGGAGTCGAAGCGCTTGGAGAAAACGCTTCAGAAGAAGAAAAGAAGAAATACACAGAATCTGAAAATCTGAGTTATAAAACATTATTCATAATTCATCAATGTGTCAGCCCAGACAATTTCGAAAAGGTTAGTGATTCAGAATCTGCAAAAGAAGCTTGGGAAATCCTTGAGAAGTCTTTTGGAGGCGCTGAGAAAGTGAAAGAAGTGAGGTTACAAACTCACAAAAGGACCTATGAACTGCTTCAGATGGAAGACAGTGAAAGCATATCTGATTTCTTCCTAGAGTTACAAAACTAGTAAATCAAATCAAGATATGTGGAGAAGCGTTAACAACAAGAGATGTTGTGTCGAAGATCTTGAGATCTTTAGCTCCTAAGTTCGACCACATAGTGGTGGCGATAGAAGAGGGGAAAGACTTGTCGAAATTGACAAAGGAAGAGCTTCAAGGGACGCTTGAATCTCATGAACAAAGAATGAACGAAAGAGCTGCATGAAAATCGAATAGTGATGTGGCCTTGCAGGTACATTCAGCAAAAGAGACCAAAGGCAAAGGAAAGTGTTTCGACATAGGTAGAGGTGGCTATAACAAATCGAATGGTAGAGGAAACCAGATTGAAGAAAACGTGTCGAATCAAAGAAGACCATACCAAGGCAATCAAAGAGGTGGTGTTGCAAATAGAGGAAGAGGTGGTGGTCGAAAACCTGATAAGAGTCACATTCAATGTTACAATTGTCAGAAGTATGGACACTATGCGAGTGATTGTCCAGAAAAACGAAAGAATCAAGAAAGTGATGCAAAGCTTGCAAAACATGAAGAAGAAGAAGAGATGATGTTGATGGTCACAACAAGAGATGAAGATAGATTCAAGGACCAATGGTACTTGGATTCAGGATATTCATCACATATGTTTGGAAGGAAAGACTGGTTCGTCAATATAAAACCCTCAATGAAAAATATGGTAAAATTTTCAAATGACAATACCCTAGCAGCTGAAGGTATTGGTGATGTTATGATTATGAGGAAAGATGGCAAAAGGTCAGTAATCTCCAATGTATTGTACATACCAGGCATGCATAGCAATTTTCTCAGTATAGGGCAGTTTGTCGAAAAGAATTATAAAGTGTCAATCGAAGATAAGATGATGAGAGTCGTTGATGCAAATGGGAGATTAATCTTGAAGGCTCCTATGTCTCAGAATCGAACCTTCAAGATTGAACTAAATGTGATAGAGAACAAGTGCCTTTCGACTGCAGCTAGCAGAGATGAATGGATATGGCATTATAGACTAAGCCATCTCAACTTCAGAGACATCAGAGATTTGAAGAGAAGAAATATGGTTTCAGGATTGCCAGAAATTGACATTCCAAATGAGGTATGTGAGGAATGTGTACAGGTGAAGCAACATAAGAATAGCTTCAGCAAGGATGCAGGAAGCAGATCGAAGGCTAGTCTTGAAGTCATATACTCTGATGTATGTGGACCAATCCAGGTGGATTAGATGGGAGGTAACAAATACTTTGTTACATTCATAGATGATTTCAGTCGAAAGCTATGGACTTACCTGATCAAGAAGAAAAGTGAAGTGATCGAAGTATTTACCAAGTTTAAGTCTATGGTTGAAAGACAAAGTGGTCGAAAGTTCAAAGTTTTGAGAACTGATGGTGGTGGAGAATATGTGTCGAAAGACTTCGACAGATTATGTGAAAAGGAAAGGATTGTGCATGAGGTGGTGCCACCCTATACTCCACAACAAAATGGAATTGCAGAAAGGAAAAATCGAACCATTGATAACGCAATTTTATATAGTATATTTGATTTAATTTTCATAGGAAATGTTAGTATTTTTATCTAATTATTTCATTTTTATTTCCATATTACGCCGGTATTTCTATTGTTTCAGGTATTTTATTTTAATTAGACAGATTGAGCAAAGTGAAGAAATTCAAGAGTTATTGGACTAAAGGTGCAAGAAATGAAGAGAAGGGGTGTGCAAAGCAATGATGATGGATCAAAAGGGTCTATTATCTCCAAACGGGCCCAATAGAATTCAAACCCACGCAGCAAGAAAAACCTAAAAGCACGTGCAGGAGTGAGACGCACGTCTCAACTCTCCTCCTACAATTGAGGCGCCCGCCTCAGACTTTCCCCTTAGTGGGAGGCGCCCGTCTCAGCATGGTCAAAGGAAGAAAAAGTCAATTGGGGCGCCCGTCTCAACATGGGCAAGTAAGAAGAGAAATTCAAGGATACGTGGGACACAAAAATATCTGAAGAGGTGGTTACGTTCAAGGACTATAAGAAGACATTAGAGAGTGAAAATTGGGACCGTTTTTGGCTTAGAATTTTTTCCAGTTTTCAGAATTTTTACTTTCATTTTGCAATTTACTAGTTTCCAGTGTAATTCGATTCCTAGTAGTTATTTTTCCAGCCAATTTTCTTTTCCTTTTCGAATACTTAGAATTTACTCCCGTTGAAGAACGAAGATTCTGTACGGATTGATTCAAGCTTCAAAGATTGTTTCCAGCGTTATTTAATTCAGGTTCTTTATTTATATCCTTTAATTAATTATTTGCATGAGAATATTTATTTAGCCATGAATTTATTTATGATTATTAATTCCTTTAATGTATCCATGTCCGTTTTTCTGAGTATGTCTGGCTAAATTATTTAAATATCGGTATGTAACGAGTTAATTCGAATGGATCCGGAATAAACAGGCTTGATTATATTTCATAAAATAAACACTTTTTCTGATTTAGTTATCTAGTTTATTTTGTTAAAAAGGTTTAGAAACCAACAGAGCGACAGTTTGAGGTTAATAAACCGACTAAGATTAGAAACCAACAGAGCGACAGTTTGAGGTTTAGAATCAGATAGTAGATGCTAGGTATTGTTTTTAAAGACCGCGACAGCGTTTTAAAACCAATTAAACTTTATTTATTTTCAAAAAGTAATTTTAAAATCAATGGGATAGCGAAAGCATACATCAGAGTTTAAAATTATAATTTACTTCAATAGAGCGAAAGTTTGAGAATAGATTTTTGAATAAATACTTTTTGCTGAAAAAGATATTATTATCATTTTTAGAAAATAAGCCTGTAGAAAGCCGGATTCTTTAGTGTTAACGACGTACATACCGATATTCGCATCATTATTATTTCAAATAGAATTAAGTTTTATTACCCAAAAATTCCCCAAATTAATTATTCGATAGCTATAGCTTTACACAGTAGTTCAGGTTACGTTAGTTCGATTTATAGTCCCTTAGGTTCGATATCTTTTAAAACTACGCGATAGGGCTGTATACTTGCAGTC